GTAGAGAGGAGGAGGAGAGAGAAGGAGGAGGAGGTAGGGTAGGGGGATGGGGGGAGGGGGAAGGGAAAGAGGAAGAGAGGGAGGGAGGGAGGGAGGGAGGCAGAGAGCAAACTGTCCAGCCCCGGCAGGCTCGGAGCCTGGTTTGCAACCACTGTGGTTCAGAGTCCTCATTGACTGACAATTCTTCTGTTAACAAGAATGGCAGCGGCCTCGATAGTCACTGGGTAGACAGGCTGTCCGATCACTTGATGAGTAAGCAGTCCTGTGCATCAGGCCGAGTCCAGCAGCGATCATGACTGAGTGGAGTGCACATGGACTACTACGGTAAGCAAACCAGAATGAACAAGCCAGCTTTGAATGCGATCAGAAGTTTCTACTGATGCAGATGTGCACGACAGGAGAAACCAGAGAAAAGAGATGATATCAAGGGAGTTCTTCTTTTCGCACAGACACTTCAATACACTCCGTATCCGTGCGAGTTGTACTGTGAACACACATAGTGAGATGAGTTCGGCATAGTTGTGTGCAAGAAGAGATTACATACGTTAGGCCAGGAGGACCAATCGACGGGGACCCAAGTGGTGTGTCCCTGAGGGTTGGAAGCATTGGATGCAGGGTTACCGGGGCCCTGGAGGTAACATCCCCATGGATCATCACAGTTATGCCTAACCAGAAACGTGAAAGAGTCAGAAAAGCATCTGCTAACATTGACACGAGAACCAGGTGCTTCCATCCAAAGGGCCAGCACCTACCAGGATGATGGGCTGACCAGCATATCCCTGCTGCTATGAACAGGAAAAGTCAGCAACCAAATCGATCCTTGGCGAATCAAATAAATGCAACTCATTCTTCCATACAGCTCACGGAGCCCCGTGCTATCAGATTCCCCTCATGGAGGGCATTACTTCTTCTTGCTCGCTCAAACTTTTCCCTTCATCCACTGGCACTCTCCTCTCAGGCTTGTTACCTGTTGGTTGAGCGGGACAAGGGCATACAACATGGCGCGGCTTTTCGGGGGAAGCCCTCATCCCCTCCATCTATCTATTTCGTTGGATCGTTGGTTGCACCCTGTGTTGCACCTGCAATGCCGTTATCTGATGAAGCTGCGCATCCTTTGTAGCAGCAACATGTTCGCACCAGAGTCCAACTGCTGAATGTGTTTGAAGGGAAGGTGAAGGGAAGGTGAATGGAAGGTGAAGGGAAGGTGAAGGGAAGGTGAAGGGAAGGTGATATTTATGAAAAATTCGACAGTATGATTGTCAGTATGTTGTCAATAAAGCGCATCGTGCGAGTTCGACTCATTTGAAACAGCATGCGAAACGGAGTGACGATACCGTGACAAGACTCTGTTCGATTTGAACACGATTGGCGGCCCAAGTTGGATACTAGCAAAGGGTTTCATGTTGCCCTCTAATGATGGAGATCTAAGCTGCAGGATAGCGAATAGAGAATTGTTTGTTCAGATGCACAAGTAGCAATACAGAGACAGAGAACATTGGATCTTTCACCTTCAATCTATATCACAAAAATCTGGCTACCCTCGTTGTAAGATATTTCGTGCTGCAGCTGTCCTTAGCTGGAAGAGAGAGGCAGCCCGTCTCTCTACCGTCGAGAGCAAGGAAGCTTCTTTGAAGGCAATTTCCTTGGGCAGAGAGTTTGGAAGGAAAGGAGAGAAGGGTTTAGGTATCTATATGGTGCCTTTGAAATGGCCTCACCGCGCGACCCGTCGCCACTCTTACGGTACAGGCCTAGGCTATCGGTACTCATGTCATCGGGCAGCCGTCATCGTTTCTGGCATGGATTCTGACTTAGAGGCGTTCAGTCATAATCCTGCAGATGGTAGCTTCTCGCCACTAGCTTCTCAGCTAAGCGAAAATACCAAGTATCTGAATCAACGGTTCCTCTCGTACTAAGTTGAATTACCATTACGACAACCTCTCATCAGTAGAGTAAAACTAACCTGTCTCACGACGGTCTAAACCCAGCTCACGTTCCCTATTAGTGGGTGAACAATCCAACACTTGGCGAATTCTGCTTCGCAATGATAGGAAGAGCCGACATCGAAGGATCAAAAAGCAACGTCGCTATGAACGCTTGGCTGCCACAAGCCAGTTATCCCTGTGGTAACTTTTCTGACACCTCTAGGCTGAAACTCCCAGCATCTCGGGTGTTACATTTGATGGAGGAGTGTATTCACCTTTACGAAGAGCAAGGGTAGTGCCTCGCTAAACCAGAAAGGCATTCATTCCTTGTCAAAAAAGTTCATAACCCTCTTTAGCAGTCTGCATGCGAGATGTCGACCGATCAGACCTTTTTGGATAGGAGTTCAGCCGCTCCATCATCCATGATCCAGGTAGCGCAATTCCTGTTGTTTTATGAGCAGGAGGAACAGAATGTCTTGAAAGCACCTCAAGGCACTTGCTGGAAAGGTGCTGGGGGTCTCGTTCTTCTCCAATGCACGGACCATCGCCTCAGCCTGCGTGTGCCACTCAGGGAAGAAGGGGTGAGGCAGAAAACACGCCTTGCCAAGAGGATACTTCTCAGACTTGCCTGCCGAGGCCACAACTATCTGTGATGGATAAAGTTACACCGTCGGTCATCTTCATGAACTATTCTTACCTTGCGGGAGGACTTGATCAAGGGAAGGGAGAGAGTGATCGAGCTAGAGCTGAGACGACATTAGAACGCCCACTCTTCCCCAACCATTCACCTTGACTTGACCACCGGCAACACCCACTTGTCCTTGTCCATCACCTGTCAAGAGTCAGAGAGCAACTTCATTAAGAGCTGGATCCTGGTACCTCCTCTCGATCAGGATACAGCGATCCGATATGACCGTCGAGTCCAACTCCGATGAGCATGAGATCGAACATCGGGAAGCCTGTTTGTTTGTCTCGTGGAAGTACATTCTCCGGGAGAACGCGGAGGGAGTTCGCGTACTTGTCTGCCTCAACCATGGCATCTGTGCTACCAGACAGAGTTAAGACCTTCAAACCTTCCTTCTCCCATTCATCGAGGAAGAGTCGCTTTGCCTGCGAACCCCAAATCAACATGCAGATAGCTCCTCAACCCTTTAAGCTGCAACCTTGAGGTGTGTTGCAGTCTCGTCCTCATTTGGCACGGCACGATGATTGACATAGGCCATTGTTGTCTTAGACCAGTCAACAGATTTATCATCCTTCATAGTTGACAACATCTTTAAGATTGACCCTCCCGGAATAGCAAGGGCGAAGTGTCCACGAGCTTCAATGGCAGTCTTCGCTGCCTCTTTGACGTAGTTGCAGAGGGCATGACCCACAGCCTTCTCGTCCTTTTCGATTCGAATGTCGCAGCGAAGCGATCTGACGCCATGCACGGCATTGGACGAGCCATGCACGGCATGGGAGGAGAGAGAGAACGAGGCGACTGTCACGAGAGTTGCAAACAAGGAGCAATCAGCGAGGTGAAGCATTGAAGGAGGAGGAAGCCATTCCACTAATGTCAATGAGTCTTAGTGATAATACTTATCCTTGGTGCCTTTCTACCTCCTTCAATCAATTTTCCTTCCATTCTCAAACTTCGTCGTTCTTTTCTCGCTCCCATGTGTCGTTCCTTTCCGCACCCAATCTAACTAACTTTCCCGATTGGTCCTACTCTCCTCCCTCGTTTGCTCTGATTATGTTCTTAGCGCTCTTTCACTAGTATCCTCTTGCCTTACCTGACGACACGAGGGCAAGAGCAATCACCAGTCGCACCATGCAAACCAGGGGTGTACAGGACTTGCATGACCCCTACCCTACAAATGTAGACTCCATGAGAGGGATGAGATGGGTGGACTTTGTTTATGTGTACCCCGAGGCGGGCCCTATGCCATGCTAGCTGCATGCAAGGATCTGCTAGTTGCTCTTGACCTTTCGGAATGAAGGGTACAGTCATGCAGATTAGACAGTGAGGTCTGGACACGCGCGATCATGGTGGCTACAGAGACACTACGAAATTGTGAGACCATCTCATCCTCAGGTAGTTTCTCGATCTTTGCAATCACTGCCAACGTCACAACTACTTCAGCTCTCTCCTCATGCATCTTGATCGCTTCGATTTTGTTCTCCTTTCCATCTACTTCAAATGGTGACCCAGATACTATGGCTCGCTTCACAACGTGACAATCTGCAGCTGCTGGTGCCTTTGTTGGAGGAGATATCTCATGGAAGACATGTCAGAATAACAATGTCGAGTCAAGATTTTATGATCCTCTTTTTCCTGAGGTATCGCACTTGCGAATATTGCATGCGCATTCATAGTGTTCCAGGTCTGCCTTCAATGTACGAGAAGTTTATGCATTGGCGCAACGATTAGAGCATCATTCAGCACTAAGGTCTTCGGAACAACGTGTATGAGAATGTTCACGAACATTGATTTTTGTTGGCAGCTCGAATATGGCAGCAGCAGATTCCTCACAAATCTGGAACAGGATGTAGCTAATTTCAAGGCTGGTATTAGCACTGTTTTGAGGTAACGAAAGGTTGCTGTGATTTCTTTTGCTCACTCGCTCCCGAAGACTCGATCGGAATATGGGAACAGAATCTTTGCCTAGTGTAGATGAACTCAAAATTGGATACAGGTATAGTGAGTTCTGATTGTTTAACGATCCTTTTAAGGAGGTCGATTGGATGTGATTCAGGCGAGGCTTGGGGGATACTTCTACGGTGCCAGATGTTACGAAATCCAGATCAGGATTGATTGACTGCACCGGTGAGTCGGTTGCGAATGACTTGTATGTTTTGAATGTTGTGTACTTCCGGTCTTGTGATCGGTCATATTTCTTCGTTGATGACTTGATTGCAATGCAGTTCCTTGTTCTATTCCTTCTACGTACCAATACAATTTTCAAATCACGAGGGTTTCGACGAGCACACGGTGATTATTTATTCTAATTCCCTGTTCGCTGATCATGTGGTTTCCAACAGCAACGACGAAGTTGTTCATGCGCAATTCTCTTTTGAATTAGAATTTAGCCAATACGGCGACTACACTGTGAGTGCTGAAAAGTCGCTCATTGGTGAATCTGAATTATCATGCAGCTGTTCTTCTCGGGTTGTTGTCGCCCTCCGGACAGTCAGACGTTGAACTCACTAATCGAGTTGCAGAATAATGGAGGCAGATTTGAATCATGCATGTTATGGGGTCTGAACCTAATCCTTGCGCAGGACTATCGTTTTATCTTCAAGCCGGTGTACAACTATACCCGGGGCTTACGACGTTATTGAGATATGCTTGATCTTTATTGTTGTTGAAATCTTGTATGTAGTTATCCATTCTTATCTCCACGCTTCAAGATGCCAGACAAAGTGATACTTCGCAAGGATGGTCATTATTTTGATGATTCTGTCATGCCATCATGTTGATTAGTCAATCTGTAGGAGTTGCATATGACGACAAGCAATGTTCACCTGGGAACCTACAGCGAGTTCGCTTCACAGTTCAGACTTACCATCCAAATTCGGTGATCCTGTGTGAATTCATCGTTTGTATTTTTCTGAAACGGATGCGCAGACCTACCAATCGAAACTTCGTACAACAAAATTTTGCACTTGATTCAGAGATTGGTTGAGTTTTGTGTCAGGCTTTCGCTTGCCTACACAGAACGAAATGGGCTATTACCGCTGTGTTGAACACAGTGTGCTTGCGGATGGAACGAGGTTTTGACGTCAACTTGGCATAGAAACGATCACAATTGACTGAGTACTGTAGTGCTTTGGCACTCACTGGAATTTGTGTCAAGCCGGGACCATATGTGCTTCCACCTCAGGAATCAAATTATTAGAAAAAACAGATAGCGAAATTGACTTTGTGTCATATAGGTCCAAATCGACGCTACAACTGGCGTTGTAGATTTTCCTATCACTGCAGGTACGTTTTCATTCTCCCAGGAAATGGGAATAAGTGCTGGATGTGCACAGAGGGCCTGTTTCAATTATCTATCATCGCTTATTGCATGGGATGCGTTCCGACGGCAACAAAAGATGCCAGGTAGATGAGCTTTCTTCCTTTCGCATTTGCTGACGATGTACTTGTTTCAATTTGGTTTGCATTGTTTCCCAAGCTTCACTGTCGATTTTCTCGTTCAGGTATGCTGTCGTGGTTTTCATGTTAATTTTGTTATCTGCTAACAATCGGCAGGTTGTAAACGCTCAACAAAATGGAAATCCTCCATATGCAACGTATAACGGTTGATTGCAAAGCAAGATTGATATTTCTTGGTTTGAAGAATTGAAATGTAGGAGATCCCTACACATCGGCACTTGGAGTTACAGGTTGACAATTGCTATTGTTGGATGTTTGCATCGAGAATTTTTATTTTCAGGCGTCACTCCTTTGACGACCCGTTTTTCGCCTATTACGATTCAGTGCGGAACACAACAATGGACAATGGGATCGTACCAGGCAACAACATTACGGGTGGCTTACAAAGTTGGCTCCTACCCTTAGAAAGTGTGATGGACTCTAAACATGTTGACAGGATTTAGACGACGGGCGCTATCCGTGTTCAACACCCCCTGACATTGTAAAACATTTTGATCTTGCGGATGTGTAATCTTAGCCTCAATATTCGACAGATTCAAGCAATCACACAAGTAGGAGATCTTCCAAGGGGCATGCAACTTTCTGCAAGAGTTACACCAGAACCTTACGATGTTCGCAAGGTGAAGCATGATAAGGCCAACTAAGTTATTGGGGTTTGTTGATTGTTCGTTTGACCGCAGAACAATCCAAAAGGAACTGGTTACATAGATATTACATGGCAGCCTCGTTGTGAAGATCCTTCACAGGTATGAATATCGCTTGTGTATCTGCTGGTCTGATTCAATAACTCCAGCTGGGATTGCTCATGCTGTGTTTCACAGCAGCAGACAACTCTTCGATTTATACAGCGAACTTTCAGTACCTTTACTCTATGCCATCACCGTTATTGTGAATGTTCATTTGGTAAGCAAACACAATTTCACAATTTGTAGGAGTGGAGAAACTACATCATTTGCCCCTTCGTGCATCTATGTCAACAGTTTGCCGTCTTCTTCCTTGATACCGCCACAATTTGTCCTACCTTCAGGAGTAGATTCCTGCACGGGGGTAAGTGATCCTTAAGTGATCCTTTCCTGGCTCACAATCATGTTCTGGTGAATTCTGCTCAGGGTTGTTGCACATGCTGTTCTTTAGAAGTTTGCCCGTGTAAGGGCCTGTCTAAATGTTGTGAAGTCATATATGCGACAGCTGGAGAAAAGTTTAGGTATAGTCTCCAGGCCCAAGACAGCAATCCTCTCAGAAATGTAGATGATCTCTGCTTTTATGCCTTTGTAACGTTGATTGTCCAGGTGACAATTAATGTAACCTTCGACAAATCCTACGTGGTTCGCTCAATTCATTTGATCTTATTCTTGATTTATGATTAAGTTGTTGTCAGCCTCCTCTGGTGGTCGGCACTTTAAAGTACGGCTGTGGGAGTTTGCCTTACGATGCTTGCATTTCCAATCCATCCGTTTTGGTGAGAGAGTCTTGCTTACAGAGTGCCACAGTTCACTGAAAATTTCGAAATTGGCATAGAATGACGTGACGGTAGAGATCGAGTGGGACTTGATCTCATTGGGAACGTATAGATGCGTACATCCCAACGGAACATCTTTAGTTTGCAAGGGTCCATCAGATAAGACGACTTGCCCCGGGTCGAATTGTACAAGACAAGATGCTGGAAATCCGCTTTTGGTATATTGGTGAGCGACTTGATTCCATCTTGTGCTTAGGGTGCTTCAGGTCTGCTTCGAGACGTCCGAAGTCGTACCGTCGTATGTCGATCGTGCTTTGTGGTTTCGCATGTACGGCAAGTATCCTGGAAGTGTTAGCTGTCCCTATTGCTTCCTGCTTGGGGTAGCAGGTAATGTCACCTTGGGAGATAAAGACTGAGCAATTGCTGACTTGTGCTCAGATCACCCCTTTTTCATCGACAAAACTCCAATTCCAGGAGACCTCCTGACTGTAGCAACTGACCAAACGCTTATGTTTCCAATCATGGCCGCTTCTGTGATACAGGGAGAATTGGAGATTTCCATTCTTTCGGACCCTGGGGCCCCGATGGGCTCACGGCTTTCTGCGATAGAAACAATCAATTACCCTTTCGTGTTTCATGGAAGGGGTTACTCACGCAACTTTAGCTTCTCACCCTCGATGGGTCAAGAAGGACAAGTGTATAGTATCTGCTATCAGGCTCGGATGATTCAGAGTACAGGAACAACGGCATCTAAGATTCAATGTGTGCAAATTGAAGTCCTGTCTGCTCGTGCTCGCTGGTTCGTGACTGGAATATGCAATCCAGCTGATTTGACTGTTGGATGCTTTCAAGAGCAGTATCAAACAGCTACAGTTGGTTGCACAATGAACTATGCCGTGTATGCAGTTGCAAGGCAATACAGTCTTCTACTCCGCATTGCACAGTATCCAACATGCCCCAATTGCGTTGGAGCAGGAGTCAGTGTACAGGCATGTACAGCTAACATGTCATCGTCATGTTGTGGAAACAGTATATGCGAAGGAGCAGAAATGGGAACAAACTGCCCGTCAGACTGTCCTGCCGATGATTTGTATTTCTTGCAGACTGTGATCGGTTCTCAGGCGAACCAATTCACAAGTGAAGCCGAGCTGACCTGGACGCCAACTCGAGGCATGGAAGGCCGCCTACTCTTGCTCTGCATAGAAGCTGTTGATGCAATGGCACAATTTAATGCGCCCGGGGGTCAGAGTCCTGGATCGTTCTGCATCACCTACGACATAGAGCGATGCAACTATTGCGTCCCCCAAGGGTTGACGCTCTCACAAATGGCGTCAGAGTTCCAGCTCTCGATGGACTGGGTATATCTGTACAATAGCAACGCCCAGTTTCTCTCCACCGGCCCCTGGGACCCCGAGATCGTCTATCCCCGCAACAAGGTGAACATTGGACCTCGGTATCAGGTGGTGGAGGGCGATTCCTTGCCTAGCATCGCAGGTGAGCCGATATGTCAGGCCAAGGCACCTTTGACCACTGGCTGCAGCAATGGCTCGGACGTCGGTAAAAACTATCCTTGAGCTCAACACGGATGTGATCGATGAGAGGTTCGGCAATTTCAAAGTACTGATGCATTCTCACACCCTTTCTCAGCTCTCTTCGGGTTGGACAACAACTTTGTTTGCTTGTGTGTAGCCTTGTCGTTTGATCATCAAGGTTTCATAATCCTTTGTACCCTTAAATGTTATCGAAGGCATCACTTGACAAAAGCCGAATACTCTTGTTGGCTTTCAAGCTACCTAGAAAGGTCACCTAGAAAGGTCGGTGTATAGGATACCAACAGCTCTTGTACAGTTAGGACACAATTTTCATGATAGTCCCTGCTGCAATCGTGTTTCCACTTTCCCGCAACGTGAATCTGGGAGCTATGTCAGGCTTCTCTCGACGAAGTTCAATCTTACCTGCCCAGCTGCTTGTAATCATTAAAAGTCTCGACACATATTGGTCGATTGCACGTCAGCTGCGACGTGTTAGCTTCCTGAGTCTTGAAGGCAAAGACAAACCTGAACGACGGCTGTCGTATGCTTGGGAAGCGCACGAGGCCTCTTCTTGAGCACCTACAGAAACGATCATACACAGCAAGCTGCCAACCTGCTGACCTCTCCCGTGCTCTTCTTGACGGTGCAAAGCATCTTCGAAACAACGACAGGCTCATTCGTACTCTGCAAATACATGGTGGCCTGGTATCCTAGTGTAACTGCAAACTCGTTCAAAGCAAGTTCGCACAGAAAAGTCAATACCTGGTTCTTGAATGTCAAAGAGGAGAATCTGTGCAAGAAACGAGCTGAAAGCGGACGGTGAGATCCAGTAATAGGAGAGGATTGAGGCTTACGATGACAGGGGAATTGGAGCTTCAGGAGGGCAGAGAAAGGCTCCAACTTGCACTTGATCGAAGTCGATGGACGTCAACGCGACAGTCACACTATCTCCCGCCTTTGCCGTCGCAACTTTGTTCCCATGACGCTGCACACTTCGCACCTGAGGAGCAACTCAGCAACCAAGCGAGCGAACCTGCCCATTACGTTGGCTGTCAAGTCTCCAGGGCGGAGTAGAACCTGAGCCCCTGGGCTGAGCACACCTGCCTCGATTCGCCCAGCCACACAGCTTCCTGCAGGGCACATTCTCTGAGTATCGGCCACTGAAGGCAAGATGCCAGACCCATCGCTTGTGTCTTGAAGACGTCGGAGATGCTGAGCCTCAAAGGAAGGTCTACCGGACGAGGAGGAGGTCGTAGGAGGTCGATCAGCTCAATCAGCGTTGGACCGTCGTACCTACAGAGCAATACTCCTTTCAAAAATCAGGCAGATCGAATCGAACCCACCATGCTGTGAGCCTTGCATCCTTCCGTTGTAGAAGATTCTCCCCACTGAAGCCACTGCAAAGGCGCTGGTTATTGTCGTAGCTAGAGTGTTACCGGAAAGGTTTGGACCTGCATGGAATAAAAAAGACATCGCTCGCACGAAAGCCCGCCTGTATCGATGAGGCCTATCAGAGAAGCGAATGTATGTGCTATTCGAATACCTTCACAAGAAACCGAGAAAGTTCGTCTTGAATTTGCTCATATCGATCCTTGGAATAATCCACATTGTCGAGTTTGTTCACTGCCACAATCATCTGCTGCACGCCAAGACTTCTCACCTATCTCGCAAATCAGCTTGTTTCATGAATGCTAAAGGGAGCACCAGGATGGCATGCTCCACCGTTTGGCCTCCAGAGTGGAAGCCACTTTCAAACTCTCCCGTCGACCCATCGATGACAAGGATCGCCGCATCCGCTTGAGCGGCTCCTGAAATCATACTGGGAACAAAATCCTTGTGGCCGGGTGCATCAAGCAGCTGCACATGCCTGCCGGTCATTCAGGTCTCACTCTTGAGTATGCGCAGAACCTGTGCTCTGTCTTGAAGTGAGTGACACCGACATCGATAGTCACACCCCTTCATGGGACCAGCGTCAGTATCGCACTATCTTTGAACGCAGCACCTCTCTCGTTCCTCTGCATGCCCATCAAGTACCCAAGCAAAGGCAAAACTGACAATGAAGCTTCAGCTCAAAAGGCCTAAGGAATGGTCTTACCTTCCCTTTCCGATCGCTTTGGATTCCTTTTCATATTTGTGCATTGTGCGTTGGTCGACAGATCTAGCAGGATATGGTCATTCGAAGTATTGTAGATGGGAGTTTACCCTAGAAGGCAAAGCAGATGCCCGTTGAGGGTACTCTTTCCAGCATCAACATGCCCTACAACCACCTGGAGCAACGTCAGGGTTTTGCATTTATCCTCGTTACAAACAACCAAGCTGATCGTTTCACGACCATCCGACTCCACTTCAGGTACGAGATCAAAAGCTTCTTCGTCGACTTCACCTGCATTGGTCTGCAAGCATACGTTACATCAGTTGTTACGCATGAAGCACATCTTACTTCTCCTAGCTCGTGCTCCTCTAATCCAAGCCCATCCAACTCATTCGCAACTGAAGAAAATTCTTGGTTTTTTTTCTTTTGCGATGAAGGAGTCATCTTCCCGCCACTCTTCCCCTTCTTCGGTGTGACTGTTGGTTTCTCTGAGCGGGGGGTGCTGGATTTCTTCAGTTCTTGATCTTTCAGGACTGTAGGCGTAGATGCTTGCTTCCTCGCTTTGTCAGGCGAAACTAATTCTCCCCCCGGCTTGCCATGTGCAATCCAATCCAAAAGCAAAGAGACAGCTGTCAAAGCAAGATGAGATGAAAAAACGACATTAAGCTGAGCAAAGTGGAGTATTCCAGCAAAACAAGTGCAGACAACATAGAAATATCCAAGCAGATCTTAGAAGAACAACGTGAACACATTGAAATCTTGTTCAACTGCCATCCTCAATGTAATATGACTCCACGGAAACAGCCTACCTTTTTCAACATCGAAATTCGACATCTCAAGTGCACTATTCATGTCACTCTCCCCAACTTGCCCCCCAAGAATCTGATATGCTGTGTTACTGAAGGATTCAGTCATCAACTCTCCCTACCTCTTTTAATTGTGCGAGGCGAGATAAGTACGTATCCAGGTCTACCCTTGAAGACGTGGCCTCTTTCTCCTCCTACAAATGGGGAGCAGCTTTGTAAGTTTGAGATCGCCGAGCGGCATACCTCACAATCCTCGTCTTGGAGGGGTCAAGAAGCTGCAGTCAGGTACGTCAGGGATGAACAAACTAGCAGTCTGAATACCTCCACATCTTCTACAGCCGTCTCTTGCGCACCGTCTTCTTCGTATCCCTCAAACTCGATCATGTAGCCACTACCAGTTTTTCCCACAACATATCCCGGATACCACTGTATTCATCAAAGCTCATGGCAATGAATAATGAGTTCAAAGCTACCTCATCCTCATCGTAGAATCGAGCCATTACCCGTGCGCCAATCTCAAGCAGCTGTCCGTGATCATTTTCAAGGTAGTAGTCATCGTCGAATTCTTCCTCCGCCTCCGCCACCAATCCTCCTACGTTGCGATGTCGCGACATCCCCGTAGAGTTGAGAACAAAAGCGAAGAGGACAACAACTCGAATCCAAGATGTAATCGTGTAAAACAAGATCCCTCCCTCCTCTCCTCTAACGCCTCTCTGCCATTTGGCCACGCAGAAACCACTCATGTAACCGTACGGTAACTGTCATATTCCCAGTGCCGGATGGCCGACTCGGACCGAGACCGCCGGACTCGGCCGGGCCGGGCCCACAGCGCGAACCATCTGGACATGTGCTAGGTGACTGAAAATCATACCAAAACCAGTATTGAGTGAAAAAATTGTATTGAAGAGTTGGGAAAGTCAGAGGTGACATAAGTTGAGTGTCTCTTCGCATGTCCCGCAAGAGGAGCCTGGTGACCGAGCAGTGGGTTGCTATGGTTATGAATCGAAAGACAGACCATGAGGGAGCAAGCGATTAGTCGACCCCCCGATGGGTGACCGTCCTGGTCTAGCAGAAGCTTGTGGGAATGTGGGAGGAAGCCCAGGACGTGGTTGCATGGAAAGAAGATGAGAGAGCCTGAAGTTAGAGTGCATTCACAACAACCCCAAAGTCGATATGAATCGGCAGACCGACTCTGCGAACTGGAAGGACCTCGCTCAGATAACAACTCAACCCAATTGTTGACGTTGATGTCTTGCCAGGTATTGACCATGCGGGCTGGAAGGACGGCAGTACTTGGAGGAGCGTTGTTCTCGGCCGCCCTCCTTGTGGTGGTCTATTCTACCCGCTTGGTATGCACTTATGACTGAGACATGGTTCTAACTTTTTGACCAGTACTTGTTTGGAAACAATCAGAAGTCGGTAATCTGAGCATGGTCGGGTGACATCCATGACAATTTCATTTTTTCAGGAATCCTCAAATTTATTGCTTGAGGATGAGACATCAACAGACTTGTACTCTTCTGCAACCAAAAGCGAGCTGGCAATGATCCTACATCTCTGGATTTCTATAGTTGACATATTAACTCCAGGAGGCAAGAATTCGAGAAATTTTAGCAAAAGAAAAGGTTTTGTTTCATGAGCTTTTTTCAGTCCTATTGAACAGTTGGAAACAGAGGCTGATGGAGAAAATTCGTAACCGCGTCAAGCAGCATCAACACGTCAAGATAAAGATCACAGCTGGACAGATTGGATCGAAGGGTCCTCCAGGACGGCGAGGTTACCCCGGCATACGCGGATTCCAGGTGTAGAGTGAGCAAAAGGATGAGAAGATATGAGTTAACCCGGTTCTTGACAGGGACCCCGTGGAGCGCCTGGGGCACGAGGACGGCGGGGCCCCCCAGGTGATGAAGGTCCGCCAGGCATTCAAGGCCCTAAGGGGATGGATGGCAAACCGGGTCCATCCGGAGCTCCAGGAGACACAGTGAGAGCTTTAAGCCGTGACGTGCTTAACTGGTCTCTCACATGTGAATGCAGGGGCTGCGCGGACCTCGAGGGCCAATAGGCAGGAGGGGCGTGGAGGGACCGAGAGGAGACGAAGGTCCCAAGGGAAAAGATGGGAAGCCTGGAGCTCCAGGCTTGCCTGGGCCTCAAGGCATGGCAGGCAAGGGGTTGGACGGTGAATTCCTGACGTTAGGCGCTGAGATGTCACATAGGAGCATCAGAACTTCAGGCGAAGCGAGGAAAGCAAGGACCGCCAGGTCCTCCAGGGCCGCCGGGACGAGATGGAGACGCGGTGTTGATATCATGCTTGTTGATTAGCTAATCATGAAGGCTAATGGATTCATAGGGTTTAAGAGGTGATAAGGGAGGAAGAGGAATGGCAGGTCAGGACGGCAGCCCTGGAAGAATCGGAGATGCGGGGCAATCAGGATTGAACGGGAAAAGTTTATGCCAAGTATCCTCCAACACTGGCCAAAATCTTTGCTGTGGGGAAAGTGGCAAATTTGAGCAAGAGGGAGAGTCAATTTATGTCAACATTGACACTTCAAAATGCGAGTTTGCGACACAGCCAATATACTTCACAAGTTTATATGGAAAACACTCCAACGGACTGGTTTTCAGTGAGGACAATATTGTAGAAACAGAAAATCATCGGGTTGACAAGAAACACCTCAAAGTTTACTTGAGAAGCAGAGAAACGTTGGACCTCGATGAAATACGATCGCATGGCTGGAGTCTCAAGTATCCTAATGGATGCTTTTTTCCGGTGTGAAACTCTGTGCACAGGTGGTGTGGAATGGGAATCAGCCTTGCAAATCGTCCGCAGAAGCTGAGCATGTGCTGCGGCAGCACAGATAGCTCAGAGTGGAAGGCTTGGAAGAGTGGCTTAAGCACTAGGGTTGATACATCCGGGTGCGTCCGAGAAGCAGGTGGTTGTTTTGACAGTTACCTGACTTGATGCTCCAGATGCGATTTGAGCAATGTAGGGGATGCTTCTCAGGGAGCGCCATTTTACTTTGCTTCACTCTCGGACACTTCTTGCGGTTCTGAGCTGCGTTCGTCTGAGCATTGCGTAGCAAAGGTAGACTGCGAGATTCTCTTCTTCCCTTTGCCAACGTTTTGTCCATGATCGCTAGGTTTATGGGTTCAACGGGATCCATGCACCAACCAAGGACGGCTTCACAGTGAAGATCCAACCAGTAGCAGGGGAGCAGAGCCTATTATCATCCAATGCTAGGAAAGATGGATGGAAGCTGAATTGGTGTGCCGTGAGCGAGGTGCCACATTCCTACTCCCGTCAAGAGGGATTTCCATGTAACTCATCATCTTCTGGTCACACCTCGTATTTCTGACGCTCTGGCTACTTAGGTACGAATCCAAGAGTGCTGGCTGGTAATGGCAAGCAACACACCCTATCCAACTTCGGTCAGATATGTTGCGGGCAGAGCAGGTGACACCCCATGCAATGGTTGCTCGGTTCACCAACATCTCGACGCAGCACGTCATCGTGGGAGGGAGCAGGGTCAGTTGCTATCAAGTCGAAGATTGATACCTCCTCGTGCAAGTTCGAGAAATCTTCATTCGTACTGACCAACATCCGAGGGGAGGGCCCCGTGGATCGTGTCTCCGGTACCACTGCCTGGTCCCACACAAACAAGGAGAATGAGCTGACGTGAGTCACGTTGATGGACGTAAAGAGTACTGACAACGACTACAGGGTCTATGCCTACACGCGTGGTAAGTACAAGTTCTACAACGCACAGCAATACAATTGGCAGATTCAGTGGTGCGCTATTGGCAAGTGAAGCAACGGTGTTTCATATCGATCAATTGACCTTTACACGCGACAACGACGAACATTTTGAAATAAGATTTCAGAAATCCGATCGATTAAAAATCCACTTGCAATCATCTTTTCACATTTGCGGCGAAGGGCTTTGCCTACGATCTCCTCCTCCTTGCATAACTATCTCAAACGAAGCCATGCTTAAGGTTTTGACGAACCCATGCGCTCATGCCATTACTGCTTTCCATTACTTTCATCTGCACATCAAATCATTTCAGCTAAAAGCGGGGCGTATAAACTTTCTTTTGATGATGCCTCGCACGGACGAATTCGAGCAACAGGTCTCGCACATCTGGAGGCTCTTTAGAACACTCAGAGCCTCAAGCTCTGCGATCTAGGAAAACCTGTGTCGGACCCTGTCGCGCGGCAATCACGAGACAGTTGCCGAAAGAGCGTGTGAACCTCGGCCCGGTCATAGTTCAGGAGCCGCTATAGTCTCTTGTAAACTTGAGATGGAGCATGAGATCAAGAAACCTTGAGAGCTTGCGTCCCTTTTACTTCACTGCTTCTCCCTTTCATTTGCTTTAGTCGCAGGCTCAAAACTATCTATGCTCGCTATACCTCCATCCTTCAGCCGCTTTCGGACAACGGACTTCAGACAACAAAGAAAATCTCAGAAAGTCCGTAGGATATGCATAATGTGCACCTGATCGTTGATGGGCGAGCCTCGATCACTCACGCTCCGCTCTTTCAACGCCCTGGACCTTCTCTTGTCCCCCTTGAGTTTTCTGTGACTTAACGACACAGGGAAGGGGCGGCTCGCTAACCAGTGGGTTGGGAGGAGGTGATGGTTCAGGAGAAGCTTCTCGCATGCGCTCTTGCGAAATTTCGAAGAAGCGGCCCCATGGCACCTTGATCAAGCCGCTGCTCCCTCCTTCTCCGGCCATTCCGCTCTTACTTGCACTACCCTACCACCCCACTTCCACCCTGACCACCCCACCCCTCACGAAGTTGGATTCCTCTATCAACGGACTACCCGATGGGGAATGGCAGGGGTTGCCTAGTCGTGGATGGCAGGGGCCGCGTGATCATAGCGTGTGGATGCGGAAGAGAAGATGTCCCCTTCATCCCATCCAGACTTGCCCGCCTTCTCATCGCTGTTTCAGGCCTTGCAGGACGGGAAGTATGCTCTCAGGCTGAGATCGCAGGCCTTAGAGTAGAAATCGTAATGAGGAAACAATTCATGGTAGTTCTGATCCCGTACAGTCAGGGACAAGTGATTATGAACATAGAAGCGCTTCATATCGCACACATGCTGGAGCTGATGTACAAGAGTTACTTTGAGAGAGAACAAGACGTTCGTGAGGATAACGGCTACTGCGCTCAAACAGAGCTGAGCGATCAGATTGAACTTGAGGTCAGTGACAACGCGCAGACTCTTCCAGCTTTCCTCGAGTTTCAAAATTCATATCTAGCAAACACTCTGCTGGAAGAGCCAGCCTGCAAGAAGTGGCTGCTCCCCCTTGCAAACTTGGAGTGGATATTTCAAGTCGATCTCATATCTGCTGAATGTTCACAAAGATTTTTGACATTAAACGGCCCAGAGCACAAAGATGGCATGTGCAGTATCTGCAAAGCAACCACATGCAGCACAAAGTTTTGGTCGCACGTGTTTGACAAGGTCTTGGCATTGACGGTGGACTCGAAGAGAAGCATTCAACCCTTTCAGTGGAACTTACCGACCCATCACGACCACGAGCTTAGCATCTTCTTGCAGCCCGTTGAAGCTCGCGCGTGTGGGTTCTCTTTGTGTCTGGTCGTGTTGATGATGCAGGGAGACCTCTGGGCTCTTGATAGGAAAGCCGCCAAGGTTGACAGTAGGAATCACGATCTCTACAGCCGCCTCCAAGAGAGGATGGAGGTGGTAGCGGACGCCATCGCCGTGGCTTTCCCTTCCTCTTTCGGGGTCGATGACGAGAGATTATTGTCAAGCCACAAGATTCTCATGCCAGTCCCTCCCAAGCGGCAGAAGAGCAAGGATGCGACAGGATTGAGCAGCAACCCCTTCCGCGCTCGTCATCTCAAAGAGCCGCACCCCGCGATGAAAGGCGATGATGGCGAAGCATTAGCTGTACATGCCAGTCAGGAGCTCCGACCAGACATAGAGAAGCGCGCGAGGGAGCAAGACAAGGTATTTGTAGTCCTTCATGTTGGTTCGGTGACTCGGTGGTCAAGGTTGCGGGAGCAGTAGCGGGCGAGCGGTCACAAACCTTACGATCCTCGAGGCTGTGGCAGGACTTTGGGTTCACGTCGCCACGAAAGCAAGACGTTCAGTCAGACACAAGGTGAGGCCTTCAGCCGCACCATCACCTCCTCCTCCTCTCCGTCATCATATCACCATCACCGCCTTCTCTATGTTACCACCAACTGCACCTGTTTGTCCTCCTCCTGCTTCTGCATGGTGAGAGATTCTTGTCCCAGCCCCTTCGACCTTGTCGAGCTCTATAAGGGAACTCCCGAGAAGTCTCGTCGCACGCACAGTTTGCGATCACCTCAAGCCGAAGAGATCGAGTCCTCGAGGGAGGTTGGGGGCAGCGACTCTCTGACTTTGCCAATGGACCTCGAGCAGTCCAAGGAGGAAGACGCTGCTGTGCTTGTGTCACCTGCTACCAATCTCTCGAAGAACCTTGACAACATCATGCTGTAGCGACATATTCTATCCTCATCCCCGTTTGAACTCTAGCGCTCTCCACTAGATCTCCTTTTTTGCCTTTTGACTTGCTAACTTTCTGTCTCCATCTAGATTTTTTCCCGTGTTACATTCCAGAGAATTTGTGTATATTAGTTCGATTTCTTCCTGTTGAAATTACATAGGCCTGAATTAGTCTTGCTGACTCCGAGTCATCAAGCATCCAAGCGCAGCGGAAGTTAGGTTTCCTTGCTCCATCGATGAGGGCCCAGGGTCAGCTCTTCTGGTGATCGCTCTCGAGGATGATAGGGTCAACCTGCCTCTACCTCACCTCTTGCTCACCTCCTGCATCTCAACGCACCTTCCAGATGTCTTCCGCGTATTGCCTTATGGTGTTGTCGCTGCTGAATTTCGCCATCCCAGCACAGCACAAGATCGACTTTCTCGTCCATTCCTCGGGCTGTTGCCAAGTCCTTGAGAGCAATCAAAGTCAAGTCGGGCTGGTCATCGAGTGCAGAAGGTCCACCTGTCAACCCGTGCCTGGGCTTCCAAATACGAGCCGAAGTCAACGCCCACGAGGTACTGATCCCTCTCGCTCCTCAAGGACTGTCGGGGTCAAGATAAGCAGGAGGACTTGAGGGTGCGAGGGAGGGAGGAAGTGTGAAGATGATTCAGCATCATACCTCGAGAAGGTCCTCGAACTGACTTGGGGGACCAAAGTCGCCTTCCCGGATTCTCGACAACTTGACAACCTGTCACAAGACAAGAAAGGAGAAGAGTAACTCACGGCATTGTAAAATCTCGGGTCCACACTCCAGCTGCAACATTGATTTCTCTGTTCCTTTCGGATCTACGAGCCAAACGAGTCACAAGCCAACACAGTCAAGATCAGTCCCACCCTCTCAACGTCTTGGGCTCGACTTCCGAAGATGAAGACGTTGTCCTCCCCGACCTACTGTCATCGTCACCCTGGCAACTCCTCACCCGAATCCCTTCCATCACCTCGCGTCGAATCTCTGCCGTAGCGCCGTCGAGAGTGGCCAACAACAAGCATCCGTTCATTGCAAACTTCATGTTGCTCGTGCCTGAAATGGCTCATGACAAGGAGGTGCGAAGGATAACTTCCACGTACCACTGGCCTCAGTCCCAGCAGTTGAGAGATGCTGAAGAAACACAACAGATTACATCACGACCACCAACAGCCTTTGGTTGAAACTCGCTGATGTACCTGACTGATGTCAGAACCGGGGATGATGATCTCTGCAAGCTTGACGTTGTAGTTCGGTATGAAAACAACCTTGGCGGAATCTCAGCCAGGTAGAAGTAAACAATCAATCATAAAGCACCTTGAGGAATTGATTGGTATCCTTGTCTGCGTTGACAACTTTGGCAACGTGCAGTATTAGCTTCAGAACAAGCTGTCGATGTTCATCAGGTGTGAGTGACCGCATCTTTGACCTCACCTTCGCCATGTAATATCCCGGTGCCGCTTTCCCGCCTAGGATGAAAGCGCGAGGAACGACAGCTCCTGAATGTACCCACCCGTCAGACACCTCTCCTGCCACGCGTCATGCCGCACCCAACAGCCCGGGCGCGTCTCGCCGCATGCGTTTCAGCTCCGAGTACCGATGAATGATCCCAACAACGTTGAGGAGCTGCCGTTTGTACTCATGGATTCGTTTCACCTGCCATTGAATTCGTCGCTTTCGCAGCAGCAACACATCTTATCACCTGTACGTCGTAAAGCATGTCGAGGTCGAGTTTGACCCCGCATTCCTTGTCAATCAGCATAGCTAAACGCTGCTTATTTCCTCGCTTCACGGCACGCCATTGCTCTTGCAGCTTGGAATCATTGCAAGTACTTCTCAGACGTCGCAGCAGGGACATATCCCAACACCAGGAGTCTGACGCGCATGCCAAGGACAAAAGTTTTGACAAGGCAGGGTTGGCCTGCTGCAACCATCGCCTCGGGGTAACACCATTCGTTTTGTTTTGAAACTTGTGATCCCATAGCTCGTAAAAGACCCTGAAAAGACCTTGCTTCAAGATCTCCGTATGCATTTCTGCAACCCCGTTGACATATTTTGAGCCCACGATGGCCAGGTGTGTCATCCTGACAAGCTTTTCTCCGTTGACACCATCCTTTCCAGCTCCAGGCTCCTCTATGATGGACATCGCTGCAAGTCTGCTTGTTTCATCCGGCCAGCGCAGGCTGACTAGCTGGAGAAATCGGTGATTTATTTCCCAGATGAGTTGCATGTGCCTTGGAATTAGACGTTCGATCATGCTCACACTCCATTTCTCCAACGCTTCAGGCAGCACGGTGTGATTGGTGTAATTGAAGATGTTGGTCGTTATGTCCCATGCCTGATCCCACGGCAGGTCCTCCTCGTCTAGGAGGATGCGGAGCAGCTCAACAATGCCCAGCGCCGGGTGAGTGTCGTTGAGTTGGATGCAGACATGCTTTGCAAGGTCAATGATAGACTCTTGTGTCTTGCTAAATCTCGCCAGGATGTCACGGATAGTGGCAGCGACAAGGAAGTACTGCTGCTTGAGCCGGAGCTCTTTCCCGCTGTAGGAAGAATCGTTGGGATATAGCACTGAAGTGATGTTTTCACTCCTTTGTCGCGCGTCGAGAGCTCCCTGGTAATCTCCTTCATTGAAAAGTTCCATGTCAAGTTGGCGTGTCGGCCTAGAAGCCCATAGCCTCAGGTTCAACGTGTTTCTCGTTCTATGACCAGGAATCAGGTTGTCGTAAGCGACTGCCTGTACCAAATCTCCTCCTTCCCAGCAAGACTTGATCCTCCCATTCACTTGTACCAAGTTTACATGTCCGTAGAATCGAATCGAATACTGCACGTCAAGCCTTTCAACCTCCCATGGATTCCCGTCGGTCAACCAGCAGTCGGGAAGTTCAATCTGGCTATCGTTGTGGATTCTCTGTCAAACGTTCATTCGAGGATAGACAAGAGGGTATTGCTGCAAACCTGCTCGAAGAGGCCATAAGAGTACCTCAGGCCATACCCCCATGCGGGATAATTGAGTGTCGCCAAAGAGTCCATGAAGCACGCAGCAAGTCTGCCGAGGCCTCCATTGCCAAGTGCCGCGTCCTTTTCCTGAACATGAAGGAATTTTACTATCGTGCTCGAAGAAGAGAATTGAACGGCACAACCTCCTCATACAGTTCTTCCAGTTGAAACCCCAGCTCATCGAGAGCTTCGCTATACTTGCCCACCAAGCCCAAGCTACAAAAGCATGAAAAGATTGAACTCGCAAGCCAAAGATGAAACACAGCACCTGTGAACACAGTTCGACAATGTTCGACCCATCAAAAACTCGAGTGAAAGGTAATAGACTCTCCGTGCTCGCACATCATCAAAGAGCTATGTTGGCAGTCAGCACAGTCTCAAAAACTCTTATACATGCATCACTTGTTCAGTATCATTGAACCTTTCAACCATCCTATCTCGAAGCGAGTGCGCTGTAGCCTGCACTTTTAGTGAGACATCGATGGAAGCAAACAATAATGTACAAATGATACAGAAATGATTTGTGTGATTCAGTACCTGGAAAGCATGCTTTTTCGCAAAGTTGAGTCTAGTACATGCCAGAGTGTATTCCACATGCCTTACTATCTCTCTTTGAATCGAGACTTTATCCTCCGGAATACATTCCGACATGAGCCTCCATAAGAGATCAAATCGTCCGGTGGAACAGTGTTGTTGAATGTTCTCAAAGCTCGGCAATCTTCGCTTTGCTGCCTCTTGCAAGCTCGAGTCTCGTTTAGTTCGATCATCCTGTTGCGCTTGTGGATGGGACGAGGCCCTTGGAAACGGACCTCCCTTCCAAGGTATGTGATCCACCTCTTCCTCATCCGAATCCACTAGGTGGGTCCTCGAGCCTCCTACATCTTGATTGGACGCGTTTCTGCTCAATCCCGACCAGCTCTGAAAGGAATCATCGAGGTCAAGAACGTCTTCTGCTGACATGGCCACGTTCAATCCTTCTTCCTTTCATGCAAGTTGCCTCGCGATTCCGGAAATTCATAGTAGGATATCCAAGCTTTGCATGATTCTAACACTTCAATTTGAAAGTGTTAGGACGTTGTCATGAAAACGACAATCCACATTCAATGCAAGGCATCATCATCCTCTATCAACGTGCAAGAGTCTAAGCTGCTATAGTATTCAATTCAAAGACGTGGTCAAGAGCAGAGCAAAAATACATTGCAAGATCCGCTAGAGTTGACTTATTTTCTCATCGAACAAAGAGGTGTTTATCATAAGTCTATGCCCTTTTTTAACCATCTTCTCTCCCCTTCTTATCTCTCCTCCTCTCTTTCCTCTCTTTCCACCTTTCTTTCCTTCTCTGTCTGTCTGTCTGTCTCTGTCTCTGCCTGTCTCTGTCTCACTCACTCACTCACTCACTCTGTCTTTCTGTCTCTCTCTGTCTCTCTGTCTCTCTGTCTCTGTCTCTGTCTCTCTCTCTCCATCTCTCCCCCCCCCCCACCCCCCCCTCTCTCTCTCCCTCTCTCCCTCTTCCTCCCTCCCTCTCTCCCACTCCCTCTCTCCCTACTCTTTTCCTCCTCCTCCTCCTCCTCCTCTTCCTCGTCTTCCGAGGAAACTTCATGCATTGCAGCACGATGAATCCGATCCCTTCTCAGCGGACATTGGCAAGGAGTCGTTGTGGGAACTGCTACAGATCTGCAACGATATCTATCGTGCACTCGCGTATCATATCTGATACACCGTGACTGCACTCACTGAGTCAGTGAGGCTCCGAAGTTGCCGGCCCGCCTGGGACTCGTGGCGGCCGGGCTCTCAGTCCGACATCTAGGCTATGGTCGGCGGTCATTCAGTCTGACCGAGCCTGAGATGACCGGCCCGGCCCGGCCGGGTTACCCGACGGCACGGAGCGCCGGCGGCGCCGCCCCGGCGGAGGCCCGGCCGCCGGGCGGCCGCCACCGCGGCCCCGGCCGGCGGCCCCCGGCGACTGCCAGTCCTGGAGTCGGATCCGCGGCTTCGGAACCGTAAACCGCCGGGCGAGTCGGAGTCGGCGCACTGCGGCACTTCTTACATCGTGACGCTGCTTGAATTTTAATTTTAACTTTGACTGAGTAAAACTGAGACTGAACGCCTGAGTTAAAGTCTAGGCGGTTCAACGGTTGCCAGGCTTCTCTGACAGTGAGCTCGGAGCCTGTGAGTCCCGTCCGGGCCCGGGCCGGCGGCCAGCGGCAGCCTGGACTGTCCGCCGGAACAGAGTCAAGTTCTCTGAGCACTGTGACGGTTCCGACGCACTCTCCTGATTGTCCTCGTACTGATTTTCAAGTAACTTGACCGTTATTTTTGAGCCTGGCCAGTGCCAGCCTGCTCTCGTTTTCTTTTCTGAAAGTTCTCGCCGTGTGGCCTGTGCGACAGTGTCACTGAGGCCCGGTCAAGCCTCCTCGCCGTCGACTCTCCTGATTGTCCTCGTTCTGACTCGATTTTTAACCCGGTTAACTTTGCCGGCCCAGGCATGATTGACCGGGCCGCTGCGGCCGGGCCGCCGCCGAAGGAACTTCGGAATGCCAGACGCATACCGGAACGCACCCGCGATGATTGCAGCCGGCGGGAGGCCTTGAGCTGATGAAAGATCCTGGACCCGGACGAGGAGGAGGAAGAGAAGTTGGAGGTAGTCCTGCATGGAGGAGCGGGAAGTTTGGAACAACGAAAGATTCAATCAAAATTGACAAAAATTAAGAAAGGTTCAGGAACCTTGTGAGTTCTTGAATGTGCTCTTACGAGACTTCTGCTCAATAATGTACACATTGGCCATCGCATCTTGTGAATCCATCTTCATTTACAACTCTTTCGCTTTCTTTTTCCTGGCATTGCTCTTCTTATTCCTGTCGCCCTTGGAAGCTTGTGCTGTTGGTTGGGGAACGAACTCTTCTTGACCTTGCAGAAACTCCTTCACAAAAAGCGACAGCCCCTCCGACTTGGTTAAGTCTCCGTCAAACGCCTTCACAGATGCCGAGGAGGCGATGGCTGCAGCTGGCAGACTGGCACTCTCTAGCCCCAGGCTCTTCATGACTTGCGTCCCCTCGTCCTCCTCATTCTTGGGGTCCACCATGTAGTAGACGCAGATGGTGGTCTGCTTGTGCTGCAAAGCAACTTCTGCGACTGAGTCCGGCTCCACTTCTCTTTTGCTCATGAAGATAAAGAGCTTGGGAAAACCGCTGTGCATTCCCAGCATTTGTCGTTTTTGAAAGTCAGCCCCGTCGTTGGCAGGGAGGCGAAGCACGAGGGGAAGACTTTCTCTCACCAAGAATTTGTACAAAGATTCAAACTTGAATGGACCTGGAAAGATCAGTTTCGTCTTCTTCCCTTTCCGAATTCTGCCTGTGTCCGGATCGTAGCTAGTCCAAACAACCACAGCCGGCAACTTGTCTGCCTCAGATTCAAGGTATCTTGACCAAACTCCTTTGGTTATGGTGGATCCAATTCCAACGCCGCCATATCGGTTCAGCTCTCGAGCTACTTGCAGGAACACCTGCCAGTCACTCCCCTCTCGCTGGTCGAAGCATCCCATCACGACTACTTCTGTGCTCTTGGAGAAATACACCTGCTTCAGCGTCAGACAACAGCGACAAGCACAGCCACATCTCTCATCCTCACCGCATCTGCTGCCTGCTTCACGTCCCTCAGCTCTTCGCCCGCCGCCGCCGCCGTGATCAGCATTGCCGCTACTATGGACGCCGCCACGGCCGCCCTGACAGCCATGAGGCGAAACAAGTTTTAGTCAATAAGTGAGTGAAAAATGGAGACATTATTGAAGAGACGTGAAAACCATGCGAGGGAAGTCAGTGAGGTAGAAGGGAGAGGAAGAGGAGAGAAGGATCAGTAGTAGTGGTAGTAATGGGAGGAGGAGGAGAGAAGGATCAGTAGTAGTGGCAGTAATGGGAGGAGGAGGAGAGAAGGATCAGTAGTAGTGGCAGTAATGGGAGGAGGAGGAGAGAAGGATCAGTAGTAGTGGTAGTAATGGGAGGAGGAGGAGAGAAGGATCAGTAGTAGTGGCAGTAATGGGAGGAGGAGGAGGAGGAGGAGGAGGAGAAGGAGGAGGAGGAGGAGGATTAGGAGGAGGAGGATTGTGGAGATCATGATGATGATGATTGAGACATAAGTAGGTGTGATTATGATGAAGGAGTCAAGGATGGCACAGAGATAGCGATATGACAATGACTTACAGGTAGTGTGCGGGACCTCTCCGTCTAGTGTCCGAAACGATGGCGAACAGGTAGTTGTTCATATTTGCCGGCTGCATATTAACTCTCCTGCAGTCCGTCGAGGACTCCCTTGATTGTCCTGCCTGTTCTGACTGTCATCGTGTTGTGCCTGGCACTCGTCGCCATTGCCAGGTAGGAAACTGTCATAGTGCCAGGATGTGATCGCTGCTGTAGCCGCCAGGATGCTACTGCTCTGTTTTCATCGAATGTGGACGAGGAGGTTTCAAGGCTGGCCAATATCCCGTGGTTGAGCAAAGAAGGAAGAGAGGATGAGCGTGCGAGGAAGATTGCTCAAGAGAAAAGAGAAGCTCAAGGTGAGAATTTGCTCCCGTTGCAGCCAACTCACAAACAACAAACAGAGAGAAGAAAACAGATGTTGAAGGTCTCTGAAAAGATGGAAAGGCTTCAATTGCTGGTGAGAGATGCAAAAAGATGTTGCCGCGAATCGATCTAGACAAGCAGTATTGGGAACATGAAGTTCTGCAGATATGCTGTGTTTCTGTTTGCTTCTTCCTGTTTGTTCTTTATATGTATCCGTGTCCTTATCGTGTTCTGCGTTCGCATTGACTTTCACCTGGTTGACTGCACGCAGCGAGCAGAAAAAGCTGTGGGAATGAAGTTGAAGGCTCAGAGAGATTCTTACATTACCAAGGTCCAAGCGATACGCTTGTGTTGTCTCTGAACTGCCGCGCAGGCCAAAGTGAGGCAAACGATGGCAGACAACATCCAAGAGCATTCGAGCAAGTTAAAACATGCTGTGAGGGATGATTTTCGACCTCAAAGGTGTGAACCACCTACAGGCACATCTCATCGAGCATAAAGAGCAGAGATTATCTCAGTCCAAATATCAACCTCTGCAGCTCAATTTGGACAAGATGCAGCAAATGCTCTTGACTGCGAAAGAGGTAACACTGGATATGCATACGGTTGTCAAAGGCAGCAGGACTGACGTTGTTGGTGCAGCTCTTATCGGATGACAAGGCTTCTTTGCACGCACGAGAGAAGAAGGTTTTGGTTTTTTTTACTCTCTTTCTAGACGGCCATGACACTATCAAGGTCTTGGAGCAAAGACATGCGGCACAGAAGGCAGCGCAGGAAGGGGATCTTGGTTCGCTCAGGTATCACTGGCGAGAACTTTGTGATGTCTTGCTGATGTTTGTGAGCAGGAAAGCAGAAGCACTGCTGCCTGACTTGAAGGACATCGCTGCTGGCGAGCGTGCTCAAGTAGGCTGCCTTCTTGGTCACTTGTGTGAGCTGACGAGGATGGCAGGTGAAAGCCGATCGACGTCGCATGGAGCAGGTGACGTCATCACGTCCTCGTCGTAGGCTTGTGACTCTTCTGCAGATCTCAGCTGAGGTCTCGAAGATTTCCAAGTCTATCAAAGAGGTTCGAGGGCAGATGGACCGCGAGAAGGTGAAGACGCTTGTGACTTGCGACATTTTGACTCGTCGGAGCAGAAAGATGAAGAAACTTTGATGGACGTGTCATCCCGGGAGAACGCAATCGCTCAGTAAGTGAAGGACTGGTGCCACCGAGGACCTTGTCCTAACGTCAAGTCAGGCTGATCTCCGACAAGGCTCAATACTTCGATGACTTGGCTGGTACTGTGCAAGCTATGCTGTACCACACTTGACACTTGCTGCACGATCAGCGGTGGACGCAGCCAAGTTGAGATATAACAAGGTGCTGGAGCTGCTTCACGAACGACATTCCGATCACAAGCAGGTCGCTTGCAAACTCAAGTTGCTTCCGTCTTATCTTCTCATGTCATCTTCCAGGCAAAACAATCTTTGGCGGCGATCTCCAACAACATTCAAGACTGGAAACGCAAGGAGGTCAGTCGGTTGCCGCTCGATACACTTTGTAACTGCTTATCAGGCTAGAGACGTGGCGTCGCTCAAGAGTGCAGCGAGAGCCTTGAGGGCCCAACACTGACATGCTCAGTGAGTCAAGGCGGTTGGACCTAACCTTGGGGTTCAGCCTGTAGACTGGAGGGATGGACGATGGTGATGGAATGGGGGTGAGGCGACAGATGCAAAGGAGATAGGAGGTTAGAGAGGATGTGTTGCAAGGTGGCCTTAGCGTGACATGTTCATGAAAGCTTTGTTGTCACTCTGTGTCTCCTTCGCACCTCACTGTCTGCTCGGCCTCTCTCGCTTCCCGACATGTCAAGCTTGCTTTCATCGCAGTCATCGTCAGGTCCTCCGGGCAACACAAGGGCCGACTCATGATACTGCACACCGCCGGATGCGAGGAGATGCACGGTGGAGCAGGCGAGAGCTGAGCTGAGCAGAGAGGAGAGGACTGAAAATCTCAGCGAATGATTCCATTGCCTGCTCCTGACCAGTTGATGCGCATGGATTGGCGAAGAAGGGAGAGTACACCCGAAATCTGAAGATGTTCGATAGTTCATTATAACATCAGTATTTCTTTCACGTTCTCACTGATAAATCTCACACAACTTGTGTTGGAGAGACTCAAAAAAAAAACATTAAGAAATCATCAGATGGATCGCGCTTGTTCAGGTGTTGATCCAAGAACAGTCACCTGGGCATGAGGAGGAACAGACGGAGCCGTAAGCCAGAACGTCTGGAGTTCTCCTTTTCCTTTAGCTTGCACTTTTGTATCTCGGGGGGTCAGCCAGTGGCTGACGCCTGCCTGGATGAGCAGGTTTGCTGTTTGCTCGCTAACCTGGATTCTGCTGGGAGCTCCGGTGCTCTCCATCCTCGATGCTGTGTTCACAGTGTCCCCGAAGAGCTGGAACCGTGACTTCTCCCCACGTAGCACTCCCGCGGTCACAGGGCCGCTGTGCATCCCCGAGCGCAGCTTCAAGTTCAGCACGTCAGCCCCAAGTTCAGGCGCCAGCGCCTGGGTGACTCCCTCCATCTTGATCTGCATGTCCAACGCAAACTGAGACATGGCAACCGCGTGGTCCTCCCTGGGGTCTGGGAGCCCACACACAGCCATGTAGCAGTCCCCGATAGTTTCGACCTTGAAAACTCCTCGCTCCTTAGCACACAGGTCGAACTCCCGGTACATCGACTCCAGCAGCCTAAACACGTGCTCGGGTGGATGCGTGGAGCTCCATGCAGTAAAGCCTGCGATGTCTGCAAACAGGATCGTGGTCGACTGGAACACGTCAGCAATGGGAGCGCTGAACTGGAAGGGGCTCGGGCCGGTCACAGAGTCTCGTTTCTCAGTGACTTGGCTGGAAGAACGAAAGAATCTCTTCAGCCTTACTGCAGGAGATTCCATCTCCCTCTGCGCAGAGGCAGTTGTGGTGACCGTTGTCGTTCCAAAAAGCCGTGCTCGTACAATCGATGGAAAAAGTGAGTCAACGATTTTCCCAGCATGATCTGCTGCTGCCGTCAAAGTTGCTTGCCTATGTTGCACCAGGTAGTCGTACATGAAGAACATCGCTGAGGTGAAGAAGAAGATCAAAACCACCACTGCTGTATAAATTGCTGGTTTGTCTGTTTCATATTGGGACCGCATCTCCGCGGACGGATACACACTCATTGAATACTGAATCAAGCTGTTGCCCACACCTGCATCGATATTGCTACCTCGCAAACTCGCATTCACAGTATATCCCAGACTATCGAAGGCCGAGTCATGCTGATCGCCTGCACCAAGATAGTTAACTTTGCCTCCTGCCAACACATAAGAATGGGTTTGATTTGTACGCTGGCCCTGCGCCCGTAGTACACACACCATCCCTGCGATATATGTTGGCAGAGTTTGAGCGAGCACATCGTCCCAAGAAAACACCACCGAAATAGAACCGATCACTGATCGAGGAAGGGAGGAATTTGAGGAGTTAAACACTGGATAAAATAAAATCGATGAAGGGCGCGTCACATTATCCTGGACAAGCTGAAGGATGGCAGTCAAGGCAGGAATCTTGTTGGCGACCATGTCGTCAAGGGCTAGTCTCCTGGAAGGTTCAGAGTGAAGGTTGAAGAATATCGCCTTTGTGTTGGTTTCAAGGGGGGTGATCTGCCACACAGGAACCATATTCTCCGGATAGGCAGACTGTGCTGAGGTGAGCGACATGGTGTCTGAAACACTGCTGCTGCCATTCTTCATATAGATGAACTGAGGGGTGATGATGCTCGATAATCCCTGTTTCTTCAGTTCATCTCTGGCATAAGCCTCCCATTGATTGCGATTACTTGGAACGATAATGGGGTTGTAACTAATAGCACGGGATCGTGATAAGAGAATTTGACCTGCTGCCAAATCAACGAATCCTTCCAGGGTTACATTTGGCCACACATTTTCCTTTTCAAATCTATAGGTGAACAGCTTGGAAAGCGACTCCGACGTGGCCACCTTGATGTCAACTCCGCGCTGAAAACCTTCTTTCAGCAATGCTGCCGAATCTTCATATTCCAGCAAGAATAGGCTATGTTCAAACTTGCGAGAGTAGTAGTAAGCTAGAGTAGCGACAACACTGGTTGCAATGATGAGGGAAAGCACAACAATTGATCGTAGGCATATGACTGCTCGATTATCTGCCTTGCAACACCCATTGATTTGGATTTCCTGTTGTATCTGATATCCTGTAGATGCCGTGGAAGAGAAAATGGCAGAGTTCCCCCCCGGATTATTTGAATTGGCAGAGTTTCCCCCAGGATTATTTGAACTGCCTGACATATCTGCTTTGATGACCTAAGAACTAATTGCAAATAACGAGAGCCTGCGTAATGGAGGCTACAATAACATGCTGAATTCGATCTTGAGCAATGATGCAAGCGATAGAACGCAGTCAAGCAGGATGGAGGGGAGGATGGAGAATGAAGATGAAGGGGACAAGAGAGAAACAGAGGGGAAGATCAATGTTTGCTCAAAGCCCCTCAAAACGCCCGCTGATAGCCAAAAGACGACGATGCAGGAGGACGGCAGGAGAGGAAAGGAGGCACACTCGAGGATGGGCAAGTGGGGTGGGGTGGGGTGGGGGTGGGGTACTCTAATGGGGAACTTCGCGAAAATGGCTAATATTTACGGAACTGAGGGGTGGGGTGGAGTCCGAGGTAAGAGGTTTTAATATACCAACGAGCGAAGGGAAGGGGGTAGTTTCCATGGGCAAAGCCAAGGTAGTGATGGTATGAGTGTGAGGGTGGGGGTCATTATTACTACTGACTTGAGTATGATGGGGTGGTTGTATTTCCTCCTGCTGGTCAATTATGGGGGGTTGTAAGTTCGAGATGGTGGTAGTTGAAGGGGTTAGCACTACGGTTGAAGGGGGTAGGGGCCCGGTATGAGGCGCTGCTACTATTAAAAATAACGAGCGGCAATGGACGGAGGTGGGGGAGGGGGTTGAGGGGTGGATAGGAGAGGGGGTCCTGTGAAGCGTCGGATATAGCGCAAGTCAAACGACGTGGAATCTAGTACCATGAAAAACATCGTAAAAATGCAATATTAAACTAATAATATCATATAGCCGATCTGAAGAACAGAGGATATGTGGAGAGGTGGGTGGCTGAAGCACTCCTGTGTTTGTGGTAAATTGTACCGGTGGTTGGAAAAAGGGGCAGATGAGAGGTGCCATGACAGGTGCTCGTGTTTTCGATACGTGTCAATAATTGTCAAGAAGTTTCTGGACCTCCAATTTGTTTAGGAAGACACATGAATTTCAATCGAACCCCTAAGAAATTTTTCGTCTACCAACCGAAATGTTGATAGTCAATCTGTATCTTAAAACCGATATATTATATGGTTGTTCCTCAGCAGAAACGCAACGGTTGGTTTCCGAGGTCCACATCCAGTCACGTTACTCCGGCCGCTGGCCATGATTGTACTCGGTCGCTGACCCATGTGGCTGGGCGGGCCCGAAGGTCTCGTTTTACAGATATTTTCTAGTGTTTCTAGTTGTCGGACCGTGAGCTCCGGCCCGCCGGGTCGCCGGGTCGCCGGCCCGCCGTACAGCCCCCGGCCCCGGGGAGCGCAGAGATAAAATCTCGGTTGCGCCCCTCCCCTCGCTTGACCTTCTTGACCATGTCCCTTCCTCCCCCGCCATGCTGCCGTCTCTCCCTCCCTCCCCAGATGTCACTCAGCTTCCTGTGCTCCCTCCCCAGCTGGCATCTATCATCCGTCCTGCTTCCCGAGCTGGGTCTTTATTGATTTGCCCTGATGATTTTCATGTGCTCCCCTTTGGGGTAATTTGATCAGGTTCATAATGAGCGTCTTGGTAGATGCGGCCCATCGTTTCTCTTGATCCTCACCTGTCTGACTTCTTTTGGAGCAGATGACGCGGACAGCACTGATCGTCTCCACAGCAAGGACAGGTACTTGCATGCCTTCTGACCTTCATCTGTTTGCCAAGAAGATGGTTTACAAACGATGGAACGTCAGGCTTGGCAAAATCCTTCAGAGGAGGATTCAACAACACGCATGGAGCCGTTCTTGCTGGACATGCCATCAAGCACGCCATCTCCAAAGCAGGTCCTGGTTTAACGCGCACCACGATAGAGATGATTTGTTGGGCGCAACAGGCATCGACCCTGCCAAGGTTGAAGACGTCTTGTTGGGTTGCGGTGAGACTCACAGCCGCATATGTCGTGATCGCTGAGGCCTTCTGTCAAGGTATGCCTGAAGGAGCAACGGGAATGAATGTCGCTCGCAATGCTGCTCTTTGGGCAGGTATCGTTTCATGGAGAGTAGGTTGAAAGTGATGGTATTGATGTCAGGTTGTCCCGTCACTACCTCCGGCACAACGATCAACCGCTTTTGCAGGTCTCCACCTTCTTCATGACTCCTTTTTCCTCCTAGTCATTTCATCCTTGTAGCTCTGGCTTGCAGGCGATCGCCATGGCAGCACATTCCATCATCGTAGATGGTGTTCCCTGTGCGGTTGGAGGGGGAGTGGACTCCATTTCTCTCGTTCAGGTGAGTTGAAGCTTGTGAAGCTGTCAATGACCATCCCTTCCATCAGCAAAAAGCTTTTGATCCCAAGAGCGGTGTTGTCGAATCCTCTTTGCTTTCCCACCCTGTCCACAAGGCTCTATGGATGCCCATGATCGACACGGCGGACTTGGTTGCTGAGCGGTACGGAGTGTCTAGGGAAAGACAGGCAAGGCGACATCCTATGTTGCTGACGTCAGATTCTTCTGACGAAAGGACTCCTACAATCGTTGCAGGATGAGTACTCGCTGATTTCGCAACAAAGGACGGCGGAAGCTCAAAAAAAGGGATTGTTCGATGACGAAATCGTGCCACTTCCAACCAAAATGCTTGTCAAAGACAAGGAGACTGGCAAAGTGAAGTCAATCTTGTGACAGACAGTTTGTCGATGTGGCTGACAATAGACTTGTTAATTAGGTGAGCGAGCAAGAATACGTTGTGACCAAAGATGAATGCAATCGCTCTGACACGACGCTGGACGGCCTTGCCAAACTCAAGCCAGTGAATATCGACAAGAATCCCAAGGCTACGGTCACTGCTGGTTGTCTTGGAGCTGCCGTCTGCTCCAGTCATTGAGATTGCGCAGGCAACGCCAGCCAGCTGTCGGATGGTGCGAGTGCTTGTGTGCTGATGGAGGAGAAGGAGGTTCGCTGCTCACGGCTCGATCAATGATTGCAAGTCACCTTGACGGTACAGGTGGAGAAGGCTGGACTCCAACCGTTGGGCAGGTTCGATGGATTTGCCGTTGCCGGGTGAGTCCGAGAACCGTTTGATGCAGGCGACCATAGTGACAGAGGGAACAGGTGCTCGCCCGAAGAGATGGGTATCGGCCCCTCGATCGCAGTGCCCCGTCTCCTTCAGCGTCATGGTTTGCACCGCCGGATAGGTATTGGCTCTCGGAGTGAACACGTTACTACCAGGACTGAAAGTGGAAGACATTGACCTGTGGGAAGTGAACGAGGCCTTTGCTGTTGTGTCCCTGTATAACATGGATGTGAGACACTTTTGAGTGTAGTGGGGAGACGTGACAAGCGGCAGGCTCTCAAAATCCCGCTCGACAAGTGCAACGTCAACGGAGGCTCCGTTGCCATCGGCCATCCCTTCGGCATGACAGGCTCGCGTCAGGTGGAGCAGAGCGACTCGTCGGGCGTCTGACTGGCTTCAGGTCGGTCACATCCTGCTCGAGGGCAAGCGGCGAGGAGCCAAGAAGGTTGTGGTCAGCATGTGCATCGGCGGTGGAATGGGAGCAGCCGGTCTCTTCACCGTCTTGTGAGGAGGCGGAGACAGGAGAGGAGGAGACGGTTCTACCTTGTATGTACATGCGCTATCATACATCGAGGGGTTGTCACTCCCGCTATGCTACAAGAAGAAGTTGTTCACCCTCAGCTGGGGAATAGAGCGATGTGGCTCGCTCTTCTTTGAGCTGCCCGAGCTGCCCGAGCTCCCTGAAGGCAACGAGTGAGCGAGTCAAGTGTGAGAGGATGTGCGGGAGGCCCTGCCTGAACGAGCAGCAGTGTTGTTGAGACGAGCTCCTCGGACAAGCTTGTTGTTGAGCTGCTCCGTCTGAAACTCCATCAACTGAAGGAGCTTGTAAGTCGAGGAGGAACAGCACAGATCCTCAGCTTCAGTCTTGCCTGGTTGATGCCGTCTGACGACCTTGACGTGTCAAACTGCAAGCTAGCAAGGGACGCGCGAGGAACCTGCGGGGTTCATTGAGCTCAAACTCTGTCCTTCCTCCTTGTCGCCCCACCTGTGCGATCCTTGAGCGAACATGCCTCTGGTGAGGCCTAGCTGGGATGGCATCATGACTCGCGGGTCTGCGTTGACGTGTGAGAAGAGGAGGAGCAGGTGCGAGAGAAGGCACGAGGGAAGGACAGAAGGAAAAGATGCTGAGCAACGAGGAGCAACTCGACCTGGTTGGAGAAGGTTGCGGGCTTGCGAGCGTCGCCTCGTGCACTGGAACCATTGGAAGAGCTTCGTCGTCCCCTCGCCGCTCCTGCCTGCGAGTGACACGATGAGCTGTAGGGGAGGGAGGGGAGGACGGGATGAGGTGAAAGAGGAGGGGGAAGGGAGGACGCACCTCTTGAGCGACGAGCTGTGGGCTGTGTTCGAGGAAGCGATCACGCGCTAGGGACCTGGTGAGACCAACCAGAGGATGAGGCAAGGAACCTTGAAGCGAGCAAGACGATGCTCGGGGTCGAGCAGAGTCTCCCGTTTCTGCGAGGAGCACGGAGAGGTGAGGCAAGGAGAGGCAGCGATCGTCCTCCTTCACGTTACCTCCTTCTCCCGCGCGAGCTTCTGGTACTTCATCCTCTTCCTCAGCATCAGCTCCGCAGACTTGCGCACGATCAGCGACGGCTCGAGCAGGAGCCTCTCGCACCTTCACGTTGGAGAAGCCCCACTCAGCCGCGATCTCCTCGGCCTTCTTGTTGGTAACGCGGTACTCCTCCTCCATCACCTGCCCTCTCTCAGCCCCTCCCCCCGCTCGCGCAAGCCAGACCGCTGAGTGATCCTTGCTCTTGCTCTGCAGGCAGGCGTCAGGCTTGCCTCTTGAGGCTCCGCCCACCTTCTTGGACGGAGACTTCTCGACGTCTCCTGCAGCTGCCTCCTCCTCCTCCTCCTCTCCTCCTCTCCTCCCGTCTCTTCGCTCTTCCTCTTCAAGATGCCCGTCGAGCATGGTAAGCTGCGTGTCCTGAAGCGTAGAGGGTCACAAGGACGTGGGGAGAGCATGTGCTCACTTGGATCTCAAACGTTCCGACCCTCTCTTGATTGATGGGAGGAAGGTTACCAAACGAGCTTCCTGCTCCTGCTCCTGCTCCTGCTCCCGGCCGTTGGGCTGGAGCTTTCTCTAGCTGGGACCACAGCTCCTTGTAGTGCAGGAGCTCGTCAACTACAGGCTGCAGCTCTCGGCGAGAGGCTCCCTGGCTCCTCTTGTCCTTGACAAGCTGTGACAGCTCCGCTATCTTCCTCTTGACTTCTTCTGACTCCTCCTGTGTCCCCTGCGAAGCCCAACCGCCTTCTCCTCGTTCCCCCAGCCGCAGCTCCTGGTGGTCCGCACGCTTCAAGAGAGCGAGGAGGAGGAGGACGTAAAGGCTTACCTGTATGTTTCCAACGTCTTCCAGTCTCGTACTGTTGAGGTCTGGTGCCATCAAGGCATCGAGATCGGTGGGAGCTGATCGCCAGAAGTTCTCCTCCTCGTCTTCCTGCAACATCCAATCGTCCTCCAGGTCGTCGTGCCGCAAGTTGATGGCTGCCAAGAATCGCATCCTCATCACCGCCCGCTTCATCGCTACCGACAGCACGCGTAAGGAAGTCCTCATCTCTGCCATGGCCGACATGCAGAGGCTCGTTCGTGCATGCGCTTGCATCACGCTCGCCGCCTCTTGTGCCTCGCGACCATGGCGATGGCACGACAGCGCAGACGCTCGTCGAGTAGCGGCCTGGAGCTGAGCAGCAGCGAGAGATCGCTGGAGGTCAGAAGCATCCTTCATGCGCCGCTCGTAGACCTGAACGACGTGAGCGGGTGAGCAGGAACAAGCTCCTTACCTTGCTTCTTGTGAAAGTGCCTGAGTGTGTGAGATGAGCCTTGTCTCTGAGCTGCTTGACTTGTCGATCTTGCAGCTGGTAGACCTGAGAGCATGTCAAACATGTCAAAACTCCTCGTTCCTGCTGGTCCAACCTGATGAGAATGAACTTGTCTCTGCCAGTCGAGTTCTCTACCTGAGTGATAACACAGGTTGAGTTTGCTGGATCTTATCGAGTCCTCCATCGCTCGTTCTTCTCTTCTTTGCTTCTGAAACAGTCTCTCCCGAAGAGAGATCAAGTACAGCTTCAGAGCTATCAGGTTGTTGCGCTTTAGCAAGACCTTCTGCATGCTGCCCTCCTTCGCACCGCCCTCCTGCTCGTTCTCATGCCAACTCACTTCCATCATCTCACTCTCTCTCCTCAGCTTGCTGTTCAGAATCGCTCGATGGTCCACCCAGACTGCATCCCCTTGGCGGCACACTAGCGTCTCCATCGAAGCCTTGAAGTGCAGACCGAACATGCCATGGCGACGCAAGTGGAGGAGAACGGAGGCGTCGCCCCGCAGCAGGCACATGGCGTGTTGCTGCTGGTCAGCCAGCGCAACAGGATGATGGTCAACTTCTTGGAGGTACGGGAGGCACAAGAAGAGGAGGGGGAGGTAGTCCGGGAGCTCCGCCACTGGGTTGTCGTTGAACCGAACGCGGGCGAGAGACGGGCAGGGGAGGAGGGAGAGGAGGTTGTGGACGTGCGCGACGCGATTGAAGGAGAGGTCGAGGAGGGAGAGAGAGGCTCCGATGCCGTACAAGGGAGGAAGGCGACTGATCTGGTTGTCTCCGAGATGCAAGCTCTGCAGGAAGGGAAGAAAGGGGAACGAGGGGAGAGAAGAGATCTGGTTGCCGTTGAGCCAAATCTCACGCAGAAACATGGAGGAGAAGGAATCTGAAAGAAGAGGTCAGGAGGAGAAGTACGCAAAGATCAAGTCACCTGGGAATGAAAGAATCTTGTTCTCGTACATGATGAGAACTTCCAACCTACGACATCCTTCCAACCCCTCGACTGCTGACAGATTGTTGCGGCCGAGGTTGAGATGCAGCAGTTGTGACATGCTGTTAAGACCTTGCACGGCAGAGATCTGATTTCTGTACAGGACGAGCTTCTCGAGGGAGGAGCAGCCCAGCAAATCGTTGGGGGACACCAGGGAGATGTTGTTGTTCTGAAGCTCAAGGGTGCGGAGAGCGGAGAGCGGAGCGAGCCCCTTCATATCCGCTATCCTGTTCACGTCCGCTCGCAAGCTCACAAGTTGGTGGAGGTCTTGCAAGCAGCTCAAGGAACTCAGCTGGTTCTCACGGACTTGCAGGTGGCGCAAACTTGACAGGCCTCGGAGAGGCTCGAGGCTGCTGAGATGGTTGACGTTCACTGACAGGCTTGTCAAGGACGAGCACAGCTGTATTCCCTCGACAGACTTGAGCTCCTCCACGTTGAGCTCGATCTTAGTCACCCTCTTGTAGTCGACAGACCCATACTGCATGTCCAGAGCTGAGAGAAAGTCTGAGGGGCCGGACATCTCGTCTTGGCCATGCGAGGTAGAGGCCAAATCTTCTTCACCTCCCCACTCCTCCCCCCCCTCCTCTTCCGGCTTCTTGCTGTCTCTCTGTACCCAACTTTCATGCTTCGCTCCTCGGAGTTGGTTGAGACTGTCCATGTCTCGCTTGAGTTCGGTCTGAAGGGTCCAGCAGGGGCGTGAGCATGAGAGCTCAGCGTTCCTAGCATCCTCCTCCTCCTCCTCCGTCTGTTTGCTCCTCCTCATTCTCCTCCGCTGCATTGACCAGCGAGTGATCACTGCGTCTTTCACCGTCCGGAAAGGAGCGTGTGCTCTGCGAGTCCTCCACGTCTCCTGCGCGTCTCTTTCGCTGTGCTGCAGCTCCTGCGCGATCCTCGACGCCTCTAGCTGCTGCAGCGCGAGCTGAAAGTCTCGTCGGTCAAGCTGCCGCCTGGCGCAGGCCGTGACAAGCTTAGAAGCAGAGACTGTAAGTTGATGGGCAGAAGCAAATATTGCCCTCCTTGAAGCTGCTTCAAGTACTGACGCACTCCCCGCCCGCAGCTGCTCGTCTTGTTTCTTTTCGTGTGCAGCCTTGCGTTGAGTTTCAATGCGAACTTCTTCTTGTTTCTTCACAAGCTCTTTGTGCCAATCTGTGCTTCTGCGCGAACGATTCATCTCGATCTCTTCCTCCTTCTTCTTCATCTCCAGGCGCGCGTTCTTCATCGAGACGAGGATCTGCTCTTCCTGCTTCTGCATCTCGATTGCTCGCTTCAGCTCCTCTTCTGCCCGCTGCCTCTCTCGCATGATCTTTTCTTCGCTGGCTCTCATCGCCATCTCAAGATTTCTGCGATGCGCTTCCATCTCGCGCTCAGCACGTTCTCGATCCTCTCGCATCTCCGCCTCTCGCTGCAGCCTCATCCTTTCCGCCTCCTCCCGGGCTCTTTCACGCGCCTGCCATTCTTCTTCCTTCTTCCTCCTCCTCTCCTCCTCAGCTTGACGTTGCATCGCCTGCATCTCCTGCATCTCTCTCAGGTACTTCGCCTTCCTGTCCCTACAAACGAGTCAGCGGACGGGTTTCAGACGTCAAGCTCACCCGTCCGTCTCAGCTGCGGCCGCATCAGCTTGCTTCAAGACTTCGCTTGTCAACTCGTTGCTGGCCAACGACTGCACGAGCAAGCCAGCACTGGCCTTGACTTGGGACGCAAGGACCTTTCCCTCCTCCATAGACCTCCCGTACTCCTCTAGCTTGTTGTCTCGGTCCCTTCGCCGTTGGTGAAACGCTTTCCAGGCTTCCGACGCGTTCTCGCTCGAGCTCTCGTACACCTGGGAGGAGGAGTCCTCTGCTGGGGTGTGGCTGGGCCAGTCGCTGTGAGAATCTTGAGCTGAAGGATCATCAGAGAGGAGGAGGTGGAGCTGGTCAAGTGCCTTCCTAGCTTCTGCAAGAAAGATGGTCACGAGGAGGAGGAGAAAGTCTCGAGAGGGGACCTGATTGAGCGGCATCTGCCTCTCTTCCTCTTCGAGGCGAGGAGTCAACATCCGTCCCACTAGACTCTTCCAGCTCGCCAACGGCTGAAAGCGAGTCCCATCGTCGAGTGAAATCAAGTCCATCGGACGCGATCAGCTCTTCTTGCACTCTTCTAATCTCATCTTCTGAGATCGCTCCCAGCTTCGCTAGCTCCGCTTCCAGTTCCTCGTCGATCTCGGATAGATGTTGTTCACCAGCTTCGAATTCGGAGGAATACATATGGAGAGCGTTGCTGTCCCTTCACCCAAATAAACAGCAAAGCAAAACAGTCGTGGACAATCTATTCGATCTGACCATTTTGATCAACATGACCATGCTCAGCAAACTTGGTCAGGGTGCGGAGAAACGTCTACATCATCAACTTTCGATTACCAGTCCTGCTTCATACAGCAGGATCAGCATATGCAATCATGAGACTCAACCCCCTGATCACTGTCTGCTTCTTGTTTCTTCACTAGATGCATGTTTTCTTCTTCCCTCTTTCCTACTTGCTCCGTTCCCCGCCTCTCTTCCCATCGTTTCTCTACACTCCTCTAACCGCTTCAGCCATTTTCACTTGAACATCAAAACTGAACCGCCCGCCTCCCCGCTCTGCCCGACCCTAAGACTTACCCTCATCCCCTCTTCAGCCCTACCCACTGCTACTTCTTCATCAGTACCCCCTAACTTTCCACAGTTTGTACCCGTCCCAACCCCATCCCCTAACCTACCCCCGGCTTTCCCTTGTACTACCCCATAACATGGTGACCAGCCCTATCTTACACAATCCATAAGATGGACCCACCCTATCTATCCCCACTTCAATCTAGGCAAGACTACCCCCATGTCCCCTTCTGTAGATTACCCCCACCCCATACTCGAAGCACCCTACCCGCTTCCATGATACAAGGCCGAAATGAGGCTCGCCATGCTTGCTAACTCGCTGAATCACAACCCACATGCGCTCCGCTGCCGTGCAGCATGACAAGTCAACTCTTGCTTCATTGTCTACCATGCCCTTCCTCCTCAAGTCATTCAGCCATCAGTCATCCCATCTTATCCTCTTTCTTCCCTCCCTGCACCTGCTTGTTCTGGGAAAATCCTTCTGCCCTGGCAAGGAGGAGAGTTTTACTCGCATAAGGTAAAAAGTGCCTCAAGCAGAAGAAAGCAGCAACAAGCAAGACCGTCATGCACATATGACATATGTGCATGATGGCCTCCTCCGCCATCAAACGTCCACGCGATCTGTTGCTCATCACCTCTCGACATGATACATACCCTCTCACACAGTGTCATTCCATTCCCTCCTTGCCTGCCGGGTAGCTGCTCATTCCCATCCAGGATCTAGACCGTATTCTTGGAACTTCATTCTTCATGTTCATTCGGGTTGGTAACAATGGTTTCAGGTCACGAGGCACGACGGGAAAGCGAGGGTTCAATGCGTGAAGTAAAGTTGCTGCCTGCTCTCTGAGAGGAAAAGTCCTGCAATGTCAGCGTCGAGGCTTCTGGGTGGAGGAAGGACACATGGCAGGACTTTGAGGCTCTTCGTAGCAGCCACCAGGACGTACGTTCGCTCAGTCGTAGAGCTGGGGCAGTCATCGCTAGTCCTCGAGTCAGGAAACCTAGCGAGGCTTGCGGATGGTTCTGCTTTCGTGCAGATGGGGAACCTCTCCATCCTTGGCACGGCGATGCGAAGGAGGATGGAAGCCTTTTACAGCAGGAGGAAACCGTTGCTGGTTGATTACCGTGAGAGGTCGGTGGCGGTGGGAAAGATCCCGATCACACAGAAGAGGCGAGAGCTGGGGTTCTCAGACGTCGAGCTGAAGACAAGCAGCATAGTCCAGCGAGCCCTCACGCCGCTGATGAACCAGGAGAACCAGTTTGACGTGCAGGTGTTGCTCACCCTCCTCTCCTCCGACCGGAACCTCGACGTCGAAACCTCCTGTATCAACGCAGCCTCCTTGGCATTAGGGGTAGCGGGTACTATCCAGGAGCCTGTAGGAGCTGTTTGCATCGCCAACATCGGTGACAGACTTGTCGTCAACCCTTCTATCGACGAGAGAAGTGTTGCGGATGCGGAGCTCGTGTATGCTGGATGCAGAACAGGAGCCACCTTGGTTCAGTTCAGAGGGAGAGAGCTATCCACTAGTGAACTCAATGACATGCTCTATGAGGCAAGTAGTCACGTCATCAAGATCGTCAAGGCTCAAGCAGACATTATCTCCAACTTCGATCAACAAGCTCCCACTGATGATCTCAGCTACGAAGAAATCTTCGAGCTGGGAGTTAAGATCAAGCCTTCCATCAAAGTTATCCCCACCAAAGAGCTTCTGCACACCGTCAGGATGGTTGCTGCACCCCAGCTCTCGCAGATCCTGCAGGACAGCGAGAGCTCAGCGCGAGGGAGGCTGGAGGGGATGTTGAGGTTGGAACGCGAGACCGGCAGAGTCTTAATGGGAAACTCGGAGTATGTTTCCAGGTAGCTCCTCCTCTCCGTCTCCCCCCCCCCCCCTTCCCCCCCCCGCGCATACCCAACACATCATGATGCTCGGTTTGAGTCGAACTCCGACACCTGATACGATGTTGTGTTATGAGTTAACAAGTCAATGAGAATGAAGTTTCGTGTCGTGAGAATGTTGGCGATGATAAGATTTCTCTGCTCTTCGGTTGTTCTGTCTTGACTTGGACATGCTCGCAGGGAGTTGATAACAAGAAGTCTCAATAAGATTGTCGTCGGGGAGATTCACGACAACATTCGAGCTTCAGGACGACGGTGTGACGGGAGGAAACCGTTGGAAGCAAGGGCGTCGTCCTACGAGTGTCAAAGTGAGAGAAAACCAGGGGCTTCTCTTGGCCAGCTCCTCATGCTCTCTCTCAGTTCTTCCCGAAGTTCACGGCTCTACTCTAGCTGAGCTGGGAGAAACACAAGTGAGCAGCATGTGCATGCCCTCCCCCTCTGCCCTCCTCTGTTCGCCCCCCCTATCCTGCTTCCTCTCGCATGCCTGGTATGATCTCACTCCTCCTCCTCTCACTCCCTCCTCGCCTCAGGTCCTCTGCTCCTGTGCGGTCGGTCGTCTCGATTTGAGCATGATGCGCGGGTGAAGGAGGAGGTGAGGAGGGGGGAAGGGGATGACGTCGATGAAGGGGCTACATTCGAGGAGAGTATCTTCAGTCTCTCTTCGTCACCTGGGAACGTCCAGCGTCAGCCATTGCGACCGTCACAAACTCGAGGTCTGAGGGAGACGGGCCGGGCCTAGTCTGACCTCGTCCTCTAGCTTCTACTACGGGAAGTTGGAAGTTGATCGAGCTGAGGTAACTGGCGCTTGCTTTCTTGCCTGATACACTCACCTTCTCTCCTCCTCTCCCCCATCCTCCTCTTGTCCTCCTCGTCCTCGTCCCTCCTGCTCCTGGTCCTTTTCCAGCTCATCCACTCATCAATCTCGCCCGTTATGGATCAAGAATACTCTTATACTGTTCGTCTGCACTGCGACGTGCTCTCCTCCGACGGCAACGGCGTGATGGCTGCCGTCGCTCCAGGCGTGCTCGCCATGCTCAGTGCTGGGGTACGACTAGAGGTCTGCGCTGGAGGCAGTGACGGGCATGCAGGTGGCGCTCAAGAGGAGAGTGAGTGGTACGAGCGTGTGCGCAGTGAAGCGAACCTCGACAGAATGTGAGGGAGGGAGGAAGAGCCGATGGCAAAGTGACTCGTGCTGGAAGTCGAGGCTGAGGGGGAGGAGGAGGAGGGGGAGGAGCCGATGCTTATATTGGATCCGACTTTGATTGAAGAGGTGCGGAAGAAGAGGGAAGGAGGAGAGGAGGAGCTGAAAACTGGTGTAGGAGAATTGCTGCTACATCCTCAACCTGGCAGGGACTGAGAAAGGCATCACGATGATCAGGTAGCGATCGAGTTTGACTTGACTGGCTGAACTTGTTGGCTCTTTGCTCATGTCAGCCTTGACTTGCTGACGGGCAAACCTCCTCCCATCGACGTGATCGGTCAGTCTCTGCTCTGTCAGCCACGCGGTGACCTTGCGCAGAGGACATGGTCGACGTCGCTTACACGTCTGTCCGCCAAGAGCTCGAGACTATCAACGTCAGATCATCCTTTCACACCCCTCCTGACCCTCGTCCTCGTTCCTCTCTACCTCGTCACTCTTCTCCTCGTTTCTCTCCTTTTCCTCCTTCTCGTCCTCCTCTTACTCGCCCTCCTCCTCCTCTTCCTCCTCTTCCTCCTCTTCTTCCTCTTCCTCTTTGTCTCTTTTCTCCCCTTCTTCTCGTCGTTCTCGTCCCTCCCCCCCCCCCCCCCCTTGTATTTCTGTTCAGCTCCTCGTCCTGCTCAAGTCTCATTCTTCCTTTTCATCCCTCTCGTTCTTTTCTCCTCCTGCTCTCACATCTCCCTTCCCAGGAGGTCGAGATTGTCCCCCGAAAGCCTGTGGACGAGGAGGTGAAATTAGAAGTTGAAATCCCCGAGGGCTCGAGGTCGAAGTAAGAGGAGAGGAGGGAGGAGGGAGGAGGAGGATGACGGGTTGAAGGATCATCGCACTCCGAGGATCATCGATCTCTAACATCGAGGAGCAATTCGACTGCCAGATCAACATCAGCTCCAGAGGTGACTGATAACATGTGTAGAAGAAAGATGAAGTGTTGTTGTTGTTGTTGTTGTTGTTGTTGTTGTTGTTGTTGTTGTTGTTGTTGTTGTTGTTGTTGTTGTTGTTGATGATGATGATGATGATGATGATGATGATGATGATGATGATGATGATGATGATGATGATGATGATGATGATGATGATGATGATGATGATGATGATGATGATGATGATGATGATGATGATGATGGTACTGGTGGTTGTGGTAGTAGTGACGAGATGCCATGGAGATGTGAGTTCATTGATCAATCTGCAGGCCGGGTCATTCTCTATGGCAAGTCAGAAGATCAGCTGCAGGAGGCATCGGAGACGATGTTGAACCTTGTGGCGGTGAGGAGGAGGAGCATGGGGGAGGGGGAAAAGATCTCGTCAGCTGACGTCGTGTCTCGCAGCAGGGGCGGGCGGGGAGGAGGGAGGAAAAGGAGGAGGAGGAGGAGGGAGCTGAGGATGAACAGGACGATGACGTCATGGTGAATCGAAACCAAAGGAAGAGGCAGATGGTGGAGGAGGTGAGATCTTAGGTGGTTTAGCTCGTTTTCATGCCTGCTGTTGCGCAGGTAGAAGAGGAGGAGATTCAGCACGAATTTTTACTTGAGATCCCTCCCGACGTGCTGGAACTGATCAATCAAAAACTCATCGGTTTACCTCCTTTTCTTCTTGTCCTTTCTGACTTCTCTCCCTCCCTCCCTCCCTCCTCTCCCTCCCTCCCTCCCTCCCTCCCTTCCTCTCTCCTGCCTGTCATTTCCACCCACTCCGCTCTCCTTGCGCTCTCTGCTCACGCTCTGCCCTCCAGGTCACGATGGCTCTCGCCTTCGCGCACTCGAGGTCATCACAGGAGCAAGCTTGACGCTGATGTCAGGTGAGCGCCGAGGGGAGGAGGAGAGGAGAGGAAAGGGAGAGAGGGAAAGAGAAGGGGGAAGAAGAGAGGAAGAAGAGATGGAGAGGAGAGGGAGAAAGGGAAACAGAAGGGGAAAAGAAAGGAGAAAGAGAGGGGGAGGAGAAGATAGCTGAGGAGGACGAGAGAGGAACAGAGGGAGAGAGACTAGAAGGAGAAAGAGGGGAGGTAGGAGTGGAGAAAAGAGTATCAGTATTAGCGGTAGTGGTACTAGTGGGAGGGTTTGACAGGTGGGAGGAAGAGAGGTGGGAGGAAGAGGAGGTAGACAGGTAGAGAGCAGGAGGAGCAGGAGGAGCAGGGGGAGCAGACGGAGGATGAAGTAGGGTTCACAGTCTCTGCTCATTGAGTGCATGTTTGAGCAGACGGCATCCTCATCCGAGCTAAAGATCAGCGGATTGCTCAGAGCGCGATCGCTGTTGTCAACGTCAGGGTCAAGGTCGAACTTCTTCTCCTCCTCCGCCCTCCTCCTTCCTGATTGCTCCTTCCTCCCTCTTCCCTCCTCCCCCTCACCACTCACATTCTCTTTCTTCCTGATAATTCCTGTCCTCTTCCTTGTCTTCGCTCCTTGTCTCCCCCTGGTGTGCTTCCCGTCAGCTCTTGCTCCCTGCTTCCTCGCCTGCTGTTCGCTGAGAGCTTGTTCGTGATGCAGGAGCTGACCAAGTCGATGAACCTCAGCGTGCCAAGGAAGGGGAGGTCGAGGAAGTGAGGGAAGAAGCAGATGATGCGGGAGGGGAGGACAAGACCAAGGGAGGAGGAGGCGAACTAGAGGAGAGTAGGAGGTGGAGGGGGTAGGAGGTGGAGGGGGGGGGAGGCGAGGAGGAGGAGGAGCAGGGGAAGGAAGTGGGGTGGAAACACTTTATTCAACGCTAGAATGAAGGGACTTCTACTGTTGTCGTCTCGTAGCTCCGAACTTCTCCATCAAAATCGCTCGCAGCTCAACTTTCAGCTCCTCCTCTACACACACACTTTGCTTGTACAGCCTCCCCAAACTCCCCTCCTGCCCTACTCCTCCTCCGAGGTACACGTCCACCGCCTCCACCGCCTGCCCGCTCGAGTCCCTTCCTACAGTTCCGAGCAGCCCGATGTCTCCCAGCTGCACCTGCCCGCATGTGTTGGGACAGCCAGTCCAGTGGATCCTGACAGGTCGAGGAAGCGAGAGCTCCCGGTCGAGCTCCTCCGCCATCCTCCTCGCATGCCCCTTAGTGTTGATCTTCGATTGCCCGCAGAACTGACTACCCGTGCAAGCAACAGTTCCAGCAAGCAGCGGCTGCGGGTAAAGCGAGAAGGAGGGGAGGGTCTGCTCTAGGGCCTTGACGGCATCCGATACTTTGCTGTCCTCTACATGCGGGATGATCAGGTTGCCCTCTACCGTCATCCGCATCTCTCCTTCTCCAAACTCCTCGCTCAGCTCGATCAGAGCAAGCAGCTCGTCCGGGTAGATCCGCCCGACCGGCACGTGCACGCCCAGCCAGTTCCTCCCATCCTTCTGCTTGTGCACCCCGAGGACCTCCCTCCTCTCCCACCTGCTGGGCACGAGGCTACTCCCTGCTCCCTGCAGCCTCGTCCCGGTCAGCTCGCTGTACCTCCTCCCCACTTCCTCTCTGAACGCGGCAGCTCCCATGTCGTCGAGCAGGAAGGCAAGCCTGCTCTTCGTCCTGGGGTTGTACCGGTACCCCCAGTCTCGGAACACAGAGAGTATGCTTGCTCCTACCTCCCAGCTGCCCTCCAGCGGCACCCAGGCGTCAAGGGGAGCCGCAAACTCGCAGCGGGAGCTGGAGAGGAGGCCGCCCACGTTGACGTTCCACCCCAAGTTGCCCTGGTGGTCTCGAGCTGGGATGTAGCTGATATCGTTGATGTCGGGGTGCTCGAACAGATGTTTGCTTCCCACGAAGCAAACGTTGAACTGTTGGCCCACATCAAACTCGTATACTCTCTCTCCTCCCTCCTTGCACACTTCCTTCCTCTTCCCTCTCCCTGTCCCGTCCCCCTACACCCCCCCCGCGCTTCCTCCTCGTTTCCCATCCTCTCTCTTTCCTTGATGTTCTCCCTCCTCCTTCATCCTTCTCTCCCTCCTCCCTCCCTCTGCTCATCCTGCATCGTCCTCACCCGCCCTTCTCCTCGTTCCCCTTTTCTCCCATCTCCTCCTTCTCTCTCCTT